GGGAGAAAGGGCAGCAGGAGCGCTCAGGGGGGCCTCATCCGATCTTCGTTTTTGTTGGGCTTTGATAGTCTTGCCGACCTGTGTCTGCGATCTGACTCCTGCTGCCTGCGATCTGAACTGCTGCTGCGACAGGGACTGCCACCTGCCCCATCCAAGGACCGTTTTCTCCTTCTGCCTTCCGGGCAGTGTCAGGTGAAGTGGGGGCCCCGCCTGGATCGGCAAGGGGACCGGGGCCTATGATGGGTACTACTTAGAGGCAGGAAAAGTTAGCTTTACTCCTTCCTGGCCCCTTGGGGTACCCCAGCTGTGGCCTTCCTTCTTTGATTCTTAGAGCAGAGCATCCAGCGGACATGGGGTGTTGCGCTGTCACTGCCCAACACTGTCTTTGGCTTCAGATGTCCCCAGAACACTGTTCTTTAGACCTACCTGTACCTAAATATAAATCCTCATCCTCTTTCCTCACAGGTCTTCAAGTTGGACATGTGTAGACAACTCTCTTATCTTCAGGAGTAATTCCCCATTTCCTTCCAGAGTTTTGCTGGATTCAAATGGCATCAGACAGTTTTGTGTCCACGTGAACAACTGTAAGTAGAAATGTGTTCACTCTTCTCTTTATTGAGACATGGCTTTGTCTTGGGCTGTTTCTTTTAAAACCTTTTGTTCTGAGTCTGTTGCCCTTTTCCTTGCTAGCTGTCCATCTCAACCCCTTGGATAACTTTTGCAGCTCTTTGAGCATTACAGGCTGTGGATCAGGTAACTCAGAATTTTAATTTCAGTACTTTTAGTCGTCTCTCTTGGCTAATCACAGACCATCTCCCCTGCTTGCTGCAGTTTCCATGATGGCACTCACTGAATTCCTGGTGCCTGACACATTGTAGGCCCCAAATATAAATGTTTTTCACAAATGAGTCTATGCCACCCTTGGTTTGGTTTGGTTTTCATGAAGCAATAAGGTAAGAAAAGAACCTTTAGGTTAGGATTTTAGTCCTGCCATAATCTTACAAGTGTCACAGACAAGCACATCTCCTACTTTCAGGCTCATTTCTCCAGCTATAAGATGGAAAGTTTGTATCATTGGCCCTGGATGTGAAAACATTTGATCTATAATTGTAGAGTGCAGTAAAGATTCAAAGTGGTATTAGTGGATTTTTTTAAAAATGGGTTTAGAAATTTACTAGTGATAACTACACATTTCCAAAGCTATGAAGCTGATATAACTTTAAAATAACTTTGAAATGTCAAGCAACATTTTCATACAAAATAAGTGTAAATGTCTCTTAAATCCTGAAAGTCAATGTACAGATTTATCAGATTTATTTATTTTATTTATTTATTTTTTGGTATTTTTTAGGGAAGGGTCTACAGGGTGTT